CCAGACCTCCTAGATTTCTACATAACCAGAGGTATACCAACGCAAAACTGTTTAACTACATCGAACTTCGACCTGTCATCCGACCACACCCCTGTTATCCTCAGCATATGCACCACCATCATAAATAAACCTACGCACCCAACGCTGACTACAAAACAGACCGATTGGGCACAATTCGCTGAATACATTACTCAACACATTAATCTTAACATAAGAATCAAAGACTCAGTAGATCTAGACGAAGCTGTACGACTTCACGACTCTGCTGCAAAAAGCTGCGTGGCAATCGACTCCCCGTGTCGAACCCCTAGAGGCCAGTTCCAAAGACATCCCGCTTCACATCCGACAACTAATTAGCGAAAAAAGAAGAGCCAGACGACTATAGCAGAGATCACGCCACTTGGAAGACTTGCACTATTACAGGAGGTTATCTAGACAACTTACTGCAGCACTAAAAGAAACTCAAAACTCCACCTTTGAGGCATACATTCAAAAACTATCCTCTGATGAACATAGCTTATGGAAAGCCACTAAAAAATTTAAAAGGCCCACTCCACCTAAGTCCCCGATAAGAATTCGCGCCGATGAATGGGCCCGCTCTGACCAAGAAAAGGTGGACGCTTTTGCAATCCATCTATCCCACGTATTTCAAGAACCAGAACCACCTCCCGGTGCCGTAAATGACGATATTGAAGCATTCATTGACATCCCATGCCAGTTGTCGCTGCCAATAAAACCAATCAACCTTTCTGAAGTTAAAACAGAAATATCGAAACTAAAACATCATAAAGCCCCGGGATACGATCTAATCACCAGCCAAATCTTAAAAAAGCTACCACACAAAGCTCTTGTCCTCCTAACGACTATCTTCAATCGAATACTAAGCCTCTGCTACTTTCCTACTGCATGGAAATACGCTGAAATCATCATGGTGCACAAACCCGGTAAACCTCCACATGAAACATCTTCATTCAGACCTATTAGCCTGCTGCCTATCCCGTCTAAGCTAATTGAGAAACTAATACTTAAACGAATTCAATCAGACCAAGACCTAACAACCTTACTGCCTGATTATCAGTTTGGTTTTCGAGAAAGTATGTCAACACTCCAAAAAGTCCACCGCATAGTGAATCAGATCTCCAAGAGTTTAGAAGAAAAACTATACTGCAATGGGGTCTTTTTGGATGTCTCTCAAGCATTTGATAAAGTTTGGCACATAGCACAAGCTCAAAAATGTGGTTAGTAGCAACTATTACCTTCTCCTGAAATCTTACCTCACTGATATAGGAACTTCTCTGTTAAACTCAATGGCTCTGTCTCTCCCCACTATCCTATACATTCTGGGGTCCCTCAGGGAAGTGTGCTCGGCCCGCTCCTTTACCTATTATATACTGCCGACTTACCCGTCTTGCATAACGTAACCGTTGCGGCATTTGCGGATAACGTTGCTATTCTCTCCTCTAACCAGTGACCACGATCCGGTTACCTCCTCCGTAAACATGCAATCCCAACTCGACATGCTCAGTGAATGGTATTCCAAATGGCGAATCAAGATTAATCAAGCCAAATCAGTTCAAGTCACTTTTACCCAACGCAGAGAAATCTGTCCGGCCGTATCAATCAACGGTTCTCCCATACCTGTAAACACTGTAGTAAAATACTTAGGACTCCATTTAGACCAACGACTGACGTGGCAGAAACACATCCAAACGAAAAGGAAGCAGTTGGATCACAAAATCAAACAAATGTACTGGCTCATGGGACGTAAATCTAAACATTCTCTCAGAAATAAACTCCTGCTGTACAAAACCATGGTGAAACCCATCTGGTCTTACGGTATCCAGCTTTGGGGCTGTGCCAAACCCACTCGTTTAAAACCAATCCAAAACAAAACACTCCGAGCAATCGTTAACGCTCCATGGTACGTTAGCAACTTCATACTCCATCAAGACCTCCAAATTCCATATGTCACGGACGTAATCACCACTGTCTCTGCCGCCTACCAACAACGAGTTACAGGTAATCCAAACGTCCTCATAGAAATTTACTCTACAGGGATGGACCACCCATCAAAAGATTAAACAAAACCTGGCCTGCTGACCTACCCCCGTAACACTAAGTGATAGTGAACTATAAGGTGAATTGTCAGTGGACACTTCCCCTTCCAAGTCAAAGTCATATATCACATTTACTTAATACTCTAAATGAAGTAGATTGTAAATTTGCAATAAAGATAAAAAAAAAAAAAAAGGATATCGTCAATATGATTTCATTTGATTTCCCTTATCTTTAAATTATATTGCAGGTATAATAAAAAAAATACTAAGAAACGCGTGTGTAATTGGTGTAAAGCACGCGCAACGAGTTTAAGGGCACGACGCGCACTTGTTTATTTTACCAGGATCCAGTTGTGCGGGAGATCAAACCTTCGTCGCAATAACCTAAATCATATTGGCTATTTGCTGTAGCTCAATGTTGGGAGACAAATCAATTTACACCTGCAAGTATAAACTAAATGCCAAATCGGGACATCGATGACCCAGAAGAATTGCTTATCGAAAAGATAATATCTGTCCGTTCCTACGGGGAGGTGTAACCAAATGCACTTTCCCGGATATCAACTGAAAACTAAATTTTATATTTGTTTGTAAATTTTAGAAATTTGGTTATAAATGTAAATTGTTATTTTTAATAACATTAATTAATTCATAACATTTTTCTTTTATTTTTTGTTCTGAGTTGGATTTGATTTGGCGGCCGTTATTCGCTTTCACAAACAGCAAAATTGGTATCGGCGATCAAATTTACCCTTACTTAAAGTTTGTTGTGTACCAATTAGGGACAACTGCAATCCGCTAGGTGGCGGTATTATAGCAGATGTAAGCAAAGCGAACAAACTTCACCTTAGAGAAAGAAAGATAGTGTCCCAGCTAACAATTTAGGTGTCGGCAACCTGAGGCAAAAGAAATTCGACCAAAGTAGGTGGAAATTATGTAATGTTTAGGTTGAATAAGTGAAAGTAAATATGTTACCTATTAGGCACTGGTGACATATTGGTGAAATAAACACTTATTAGGATGCAACAAACTATGGTAGTGGTAAATGGTCATCTAATAGGTGAGGTACGTTAAAAATACCAATTAAGGAGTGGCATATACCTAACTTTGTATCACCTAATAGGAGCAGTATGTAGAAGGACCTTATTTGTGCCAATTTGTAACCTAACTAAAGGGACGATTGTTACCTAATTGGTAATATATTCGTTCCATGACTTATTAGGTAACTTTGTTCACGTCATAAATATAACCTAATAGGAGATATAGGCCAAAGTCGACAAAATGACTAAATAGGAATACAAGAAAATTTCATAGACACCTAATAAGAGAATACAGTTACTTACATTTTGACCAATAGGTTGAAATGACTTGAATATTTCACCATTAAGTTTTTTCGACCTATTGGTCGAAACGACAGATCACCTATTTAGTAGCATTTCACCAAAATAAATATATTTCACTCGAGTAAAATAATGGTGCCGGTCTGTTTCAACTATAATCTGTTCACCCAACAGATGCAGTTAAGCCACTCCCAATAAATTTGGGCCAATGTAATAACAGACCCGTTTCACAGTCACAAAATTATAAAAACCGGGAAATTTAAAATCGCATGTCACATTGTACGGCGAAGTTATAAAGTGTTATGTTTTGAATATTGATCTTTGAACACACAGCAGTACATAGTTTCAAATTGTTTATTAAGTTCAGAAAGATTATTTTGTTCGTATAAATGAAATTAACCGCAAATTGAGGCAAGACAAATACAAAACGCAGTGACAGGTTTGAGGTTAAGGATGTCAATTCAGATACGGCAATTATAATTATTGGAAGCAAATAGTTGCGTGTGTTACAGGTTTTGAAAATTCGGCCAATTAAAAATGTTCATTTAAATTTGCCGAGATTTTTTGGGGGGGGAGCTTTACTGCATCTGTTGGGTGAAAAGATAATAGTAGGTATCAATGTCGACCTAAACAATAGGCAATAGGTAGGTAGTAGGTTACAATCATAAGTTGTGTTGCTAACAGGTGTATAATTTACTTATTTCTGAGAGAAAATCGAAAAAATCGAAATCGAATCCAACCTAATGCGCCCCTTACAGTATCCAAATCTACATATAGGCAACTTGAACCCGCCTCCGATTTTTTTTAAATTTTAACCTTGCCAATTTAAGCATTTGAGTACTTTTCTCCCAGGGGTGCACCCTCGGTGAATTTTTCTTATCTTTACAACCGTCACTGAAAAGGCTTTGTTTTGGATGCCAGAATACTCAGACCTGAGCCCACTTTTCAGAAGTCACTTACGCGACTGTGTAATATTTGTATAAAATTTGCTGACCGATCAGCATTTGTAATATGTTTAAATATAAAGCATCCCTTACGTTTGAGATAGAAAAATAGCAATAAACGTAAAAGACAGGAAACATACACCTACTTTGATGAACAGCAGTGCAGCGGTGTAATCCTAAACTTCATTATAACTGAAATTGATAAGGTGCAAAGTCTTGTAAGCATAATGTAGTTTCTGAGGGTGTACTCGGTAAATTATACTAAAAGCTTTGTCATTGTATACCTACATAGTCCAGGTTGTGCCTACTCATTATCTGCAATAACCCAAGTGATACCTCAAACGAGCTGAAATGTTATTAAGGTCTGTTATATGTGATGTGGTACAAGCATAGGTATGTCCATTAATTCAAAGTGCAAGCACTGGAATGATGCCCTTGTGCATACTAAATTTGAAGTAAGTGGATAATAACATACAATGCGGGTAGAAGAATTTACTTTGGCCTTTTGTGATCAAAAATCAGAGATACAGTCACAGCAATTATAATTAGTAAAATCAGCCAGTCCTTTATAGCGGTTAGTGTAGTAATTTTGCTTTGAGTGACAGGGCGTTTGTGAACTTGTGTAAAACGCAACATTCTGCATGATCGCATTTTCTTACCCTTATAGATTCCGGGGGAACGGTAATATGCTGGTTGTTGTGGCTTAGTTGCCCCAATTCCCAATCTTGCGCCACCATTCGGATTTCAGTTGTATTCGGGTCTATGAGTCGCAAGCTAGTAATGTTACTTTTCGCGGCTTTCAGCCTTCCCAAGTCAATTGAATGGGTGTCCTGAAATATATATCTATCAGAATTCGTTTCTATCGAGAACATTATTAGACCTTTGTGTGCTTGTTTGGATTTACTTAACCTCATGATTGACAGTTTAGTTTCCGGAAACCTCTTTGTTACGGAATATTTTTGTAAAGGGTTTAAAGCTCAATTTTTGTGTAATAGCTTCTTAAATTGGAGAGGTTTTACGATCGAGCGTTAACGTATAACGGCTAGATCGTAATTAGTGTTTCAGCTGTTAAATAACCGCGTAATTACAATTTGCCCTCCACTTTCTTTGGTGGTTATTCGTTTAATTTGATTACATCGCTAAGATTTTGTTTAGTGTACGAGAGGTAATTGTTCTTTCCTTTACTCTACGACCACCGAACTTCCTTATCGACTAGGTATCAATTTACCTCCCGGTAATCCAATTCAGGAAGATAAAACGTAACGCATTAAGGTAGAATACTTTTTCAGTTCCTCTTTACAATAAAACATTAATAGTAAAACCTCGGGACAAACGGCTAAGAATCGATAGTAAACGTAACTTGAGTCTGTAGAAGTATTAGAATACCTTTGATAGTATCTATTGACGCAACGCGATATACCTGGGAATTAGGATTTAAGTAAAAACGCAATTTTTGGAGCCAATTCTATTTAAGTTCGCGATATTATTATAATTGACTTCGAATCGAAAGGAATATCTGTGGTTTAGTGCGAACTGACATTCGAGTTTATTTTTGGTGCAACCCAATTACGACATATTAATATATCGAATGATAGGTGTTTAGTTTCCTCATCTTGATTCTTTGTCCCTCGATATAATATGGCAATGGTAAAGAGGCAGTTGTGGTTGTTTGCTTTTCACATTAGCTCATCAGATAATGTCCAAGTGAAGAGACGTACACTCTTTGCTAACCGTCGCGAACCAGCAGCGTTTTTTTTAGTTGTCTGCAATATTTAACGAAACACCACCACCACCAAACAAACGACTCCTTCTATCACTTTCGCCGAAAATAATGCGCACTAGACAAAACCCCACAGAATGTGCGCAAACTTGACGAGATGCTTCTGCATTTTATCAAACAATCACGCAATTTCACAGACAAGGCAGACTAAGAGATCCTTAGATACCAACAAAACACAAAACCTTCCCCATACTAATTAGTATGGGGAAGGTTTTGTGTGTTGTTGGTATCTAATATACACACCATGGATATCTCCGATTTAAGAGATCTTTGTTTTGAACTTGAAGAGCTAATAGTAGGGGAGCTAGCTCGAAATCCACTGAACGAGAATGATCAAAATTTTAACCGATGGAGTTTCATTTTGCCTTATCAGAGTATGCTAAAATCGATCGTCTGCCGCCTCATGTCATATTACTTAAGGCGCTGCGGGTACTTCTTGCGGGGTATTTAATAATTGAATGTCAATATTTAAGGGGGCGATTTTTGGGTCCATTTTAAAAAGAAAACTTCAATGACCCTATGTCCTAAACGTCTTAACTTTTGAGATACAGGGTGGTAAAGTTTTCAAAAATAAATCATTTATTATTAATATCTGTAATACCACTGTAGATATTTTAATGACATTTGGCATGTATGTACTATGTATCCAGATGCATTTTTTAACATATCACATTTTTAATTTCCACCAGTGGCGTTCGTACAAAATTTCACATGCCCATTTTGACAGATATTGATGCTACGCCACTGATTTCTCTGAAAATAAAAATTATTCTTGAAATCCCCAATCATTTCTAAGCAAATTTGATCCCTTTGTATTTTTTTTTCAATTCGATGCATGGTTTTCGCTTAAAAAAATAAAAACCGTTTCTCTGCAAGTTCATGACAATATGATTAATATGACAATATCACCATGTAAAAAAATATTTTCATTTATGGGCAGATTTAATCATTTGATTTTTTTCAATCCGACACACGGTTTTTATGTAAAAAAGACATGGTTCATATGAAGTTTTCTTTTTAAAATCCTTAAAATCCAAAAATCGCCCATTCATTCAATTATGAAACGCCCTGTATAGGTCTGCTATAAAAGGGGATCTAAGGGATCGTAGTCAGAAAAAATTTTAATATCAAAACAGGCTACAATCATTAAGCGAATATCAAGAAAATTCCATAATTAGGATTGGTTTGTTTCGAAATCCAGTATGTAATCAAACGTTAATCAAGGAGTCGACGAAATAAAAAAAATACCTTTTGAACTACAGGCCGCAACGGCATTGTTGAGCTCAAGACGGACACTTTCTGCCAATTTGTAACAGACAACAATACAAACAAACGAATAATAGGGGCAGTGAATAGCGCGGTGCATAAAAAATTGCGTAAGCAATGCTCACGGATATAAAAACTGTAAAGTGCTAAATAGGAATCAATAATTCGAAAACTTTACGATGAACGAATAACCTAATTTCTATGGGTCTATTCAATTCAAAACGTAACAAGATAATACGAGCCAGGACCGCCTTGAATTATGCGCCTAACAGAATGGTGGACATATAGAGCAGATCATTTAGATTTACGATTGGCATTTTTGTTTATTTGTTAATACATATTTATACGTTATACATACCAATATATATTTTTACAATTCAGGACTTCATACTTCTGGTCATACTGTAGTTGGTGGAATTGAAGTAGAATCTTCGCAGCGGGTAATGTAGAAACTCACTTCATAAGATGGCGGTGGACCTCCTCAAATGAATATTCTTTGCGGAAAATTAACAAAATTCATAGTTCGGCAGTTTTTACTCATTAATATCGATGCAGAAAACACAATTCGGTACGTAATAATGAAAAAAAGAGTAAACCAAGAGTAAGATGTAAGAAGACTAACAATGGTTATATGGTAAATGTGTAATTTTTGTTAACATACCAAAACGGACTGGGTACTTGTAAAACGTATCCAAAAATGCGTCAGCGAAGTGGCGATAGCAAAATACCAAGAAAAAACTTCACCAAACTTATACAGCACCAATAAAAATCTCAAAAGGCTGACAAAAATTGTCGAGTTACTGTAATGGCGTGTATGTTCTTCTACAAGTAATGATCGAATCTCGTTTTGAATTTGCGCCGAAAGAAATTAAAGAAAACCGTGCACGACCCCCGTCGGCGAAACAAAGACCTTCTAAAACGAAACCTATACTAAGAAAATAATAAATTTACCACATGAATTAACTTACATCTAAAACTAGTGGATTACGAACGGCACACCTAGATGGCGTAATAATATCAAATAAAACGTCGAATTTAAATATAAATTTGAATTACGAGCGAAAAGAACGTAACATACGTATCGTTTTTTACACATTTAGAAGCTTTTCATGTATAAAGTTATTTTCGTGATTATGGGTTTTTGTTGCTACTTTGAACAGCTACTTGGTTGATTNTTAAAAAGAAAACTTCATATGAACCTATGTCCTAAACGTCTTAACTTTTGAGATACAGGGTGGTAAAGTTTTCAAAAATAAATCATTTATTATTAATACCACTTTAGATATTTTAATGAAATTTGGCATGAATGTACTATGTATCCAGAGGCATTTTTTAACGTACCACATTTTTTTAATTTCCACCAGTGGCGTTCGTACGGAATTTCACATGCAGGCAATGATGGTACGCCACTGATTTCTCTGAAAATAAAATTTATTCTTGAAATCCCCAATTTTGATTTTTTTCAATCCGACACACGGTTTTTATGTAAAAAAGACATGGTTCATATGAAGTTTTCTTTTTAAAATCCTTAAAATCCAAAAATCGCCCATTCATTCAATTATGAAACGCCCTGTATAGGTCTGCTATAAAAGGGGATCTAAGGGATCGTAGTCAGAAAAAATTTTAATATCAAAACAGGCTACAATCATTAAGCGAATATCAAGAAAATTCCATAATTAGGATTGGTTTGTTTCGAAATCCAGTATGTAATCAAACGTTAATCAAGGAGTCGACGAAATAAAAAAAATACCTTTTGAACTACAGGCCGCAACGGCATTGTTGAGCTCAAGACGGACACTTTCTGCCAATTTGTAACAGACAACAATACAAACAAACGAATAATAGGGGCAGTGAATAGCGCGGTGCATAAAAAATTGCGTAAGCAATGCTCACGGATATAAAAACTGTAAAGTGCTAAATAGGAATCAATAATTCGAAAACTTTACGATGAACGAATAACCTAATTTCTATGGGTCTATTCAATTCAAAACGTAACAAGATAATACGAGCCAGGACCGCCTTGAATTATGCGCCTAACAGAATGGTGGACATATAGAGCAGATCATTTAGATTTACGATTGGCATTTTTGTTTATTTGTTAATACATATTTATACGTTATACATACCAATATATATTTTTACAATTCAGGACTTCATACTTCTGGTCATACTGTAGTTGGTGGAATTGAAGTAGAATCTTCGCAGCGGGTAATGTAGAAACTCACTTCATAAGATGGCGGTGGACCTCCTCAAATGAATATTCTTTGCGGAAAATTAACAAAATTCATAGTTCGGCAGTTTTTACTCATTAATATCGATGCAGAAAACACAATTCGGTACGTAATAATGAAAAAAAGAGTAAACCAAGAGTAAGATGTAAGAAGACTAACAATGGTTATATGGTAAATGTGTAATTTTTGTTAACATACCAAAACGGACTGGGTACTTGTAAAACGTATCCAAAAATGCGTCAGCGAAGTGGCGATAGCAAAATACCAAGAAACAAGTTGTAAATCAGCATATGCATGATTAAAGCGCATTTTTGGTAATGCAGGTGAGTATTTTATTAGCGAAGTTTAAAATTATCGATCTCACGAGTAATTTTGGCTGCGTTAAATAATTAATTTTATTTAATTTCAATTGACGGTACGTCTTCATTTTGTAAAACAAATCACAAAGTAAATAATAAGTTTTTATACTGGTAGCGCTATCTAACGGTAAAATTATAGCACCTACGAAACCCATATCGAAATTATTTTCTTCAATTATCGATCTCATAAGTAATCTAACTCAAAATAGACTAGTGCCTGCACATCTACACTATAGCAGAAAGCTTTTAGTGAAAATTTGATGTCTCTAGCTATTGTAGTTGTGGAGATCTAACGCGGACAGCCGGCCTGCCAGCAATGACGAATATAATAGCGTATTTTTTTCAAAAATGCGCTAAAAACTTCACCAAACTTATACAGCACCAATAAAAATCTCAAAAGGCTGACAAAAATTGTCGAGTTACTGTAATGGCGTGTATGTTCTTCTACAAGTAATGATCGAATCTCGTTTTGAATTTGCGCCGAAAGAAATTAAAGAAAACCGTGCACGACCCCCGTCGGCGAAACAAAGACCTTCTAAAACGAAACCTATACTAAGAAAATAATAAATTTACCACATGAATTAACTTACATCTAAAACTAGTGGATTACGAACGGCACACCTAGATGGCGTAATAATATCAAATAAAACGTCGAATTTAAATATAAATTTGAATTACGAGCGAAAAGAACGTAACATACGTATCGTTTTTTACACATTTAGAAGCTTTTCATGTATAAAGTTATTTTCGTGATTATGGGTTTTTGTTGCTACTTTGAACAGCTACTTGGTTGATTTAGGAGGAGGTACGCAATAAGGCCAGACCAAACGAATTTACCTCAAGTAGATTTCAATCTAAATTTTATGGAGCACCTCGTTCCTTCTTTGTCTGGCTTTTGATGACCTTATGCCACAGTTTTCTGGTGGCTGTTACGTTACCAAAATGGTCCCATGTTTGGGCTTTAAAGAATGGGATATTTTCATTAATTGGAGGGACTTTTATACTTGTGTAATCTTTCACAAATTGGCCCCGGTTTCAGATATTGCAAAGGAGTCAATAAAATACGACTGAAAAGGCAGAAGATCGTGAATGGTAGAATTTTAATCTATGTCCACATACACAGAAAGAGTGAGAAAGACGCTTTTATGACCGTTTACCTCATATTTTAATCAAAAATAAGGTCGCCAAAGGTAACGAATTTACAGAGTGTAACATAAATATGAAAAAAAAAATGGTGAGTTGTTGGATTAAAACAAACTTTTTTTCAAATAAACCAAAAAGTCTCTGCCCTATCTCCACAAAGCGCACGCTTAAATGGGGTGTGATTTTGATCCTGACTAAACTGTTTGTACTGTGGCGACCATTAACGCCAATCGGTACATCCTAGGAAAACAATATAAGTTGTTGTCTAGGTAATACAAATTTAATAATTTAAGAATAGATTCTTTCTGTTCATGTTTCAAAATAAAAATAGTTCCTATTCCTGTATTATGTAATAAAACGCTACACTCCAATTAATTATTTTTCGAAAATTGAACAACGATAATCATAGAGTGAACCTTAGGCAGTTGCAATTTAATGATGGATTTAGAATGGAGGCGTATTCTTCAAGATGAACAAGGAAATGCTGTCACGGAAAATGGATGTGGTTACCCATTGCTGCTTACTGATGTGTTTTGACCTCCTGTGAATGTAATGATCATCACGAATGTATGGTTTCAATAATTTGTAGCACAACGGGTTAAACAGACGATATGTTGCCGATCTGAGATTATCAATGCCCTGTGAATATGCTTTTATAGAACATCAAATTAACATTTTTTGCTCGCCCGAGTAATCCTACCCCAAAAATTCAACGATACGTTAAAAACACTTTGGGCTGTGTAAAAAGTCGATTTTTAATATTCCCTTTACTGAAACAAAGAAAATCTGAAAAAGTCGTTCAAGCAGCACGAGGGAGAAAATAAAAGGTAACACGGAATACTGTATAGGAAACAAGCGCAATTTAAACCTCTCTGTATCTCAATTTTAAACTCAAAAGCAAAGACAAAGACAACTCTTATTGACAATAAAATTAAACGGTTTTATTCAAGCTCTTGCAAGGGGCTTAATTTATTTTCTTTATTTCGTGGCTAACGTTTTTAAAGAATTGAGCTTCCCATTAGGCACTAAATTATTTAACAAGATAGCGGAAATCTTAAACGCCCTTTAAAGTATCAAATTAACTTTTAAATTGACCAAGCCAGCTTTCATTGGCAATAACGCCCGTGAAATACGACATTGAAGTTATTTCCTTCCCATTTCCGCGCTGGAATTTCAATACCACTACTTACCAAAGAAGTAAGAATATAGCTGTAATATTCTTCCATGAGTTTTACTTCCCTGGCCTGCTCTAAAATGTCAAATATATGGTCGCTCTCACAATCCAGTACGATTTGATATACCGAGGAAGCTTTAATCTCCTTCAGCAGCGGCCTGAAACAAAAGTAGATGCATTAGAAAATTCCCAGCGCCCGCACCATTTATCTGAATCTATGATATCATGTCTACACGGATAAACAGAGATCTTGGACGAATTTTGCTGTTGCATTTTTAGATTCGATGCCGTTGCAGAGGATAAATTCGTTTCTCGATCCTGCAACTGGAATCTTACTTTATTGAGGAGCTATTCCATACCATTGCACTATATAATTCGGGTTTGTGTGAGACATTCGAATAGCTATAGATTTTAGTTTTATCCTTTCGCATTTTAGTAGCAACGTAAAAATAGTTTAATGCCTTACTTTAAAGTCAATTTTATTGCCCGGTATTCCCTCTTGTTTTATTCGTCAGGCAGTGGAAATATTAATCATTTTACCGATATGAGCTCGAAAATAATTATTATCTAACGGACTGGCCCTCTAGAGACAATTAGGCTGTTAATAATTTGCAGTGTTAGTGCTAAATTACAATTTTGTAAGATCTTACGAATTTAATTACTTGGCGAGCATTTGATTAATCACTAGCTACCTACCTTGTAGAAACTCAAAATTCTGTTGTGTTAGGCTTATTTCAAAATTACAGTTGATCTTTAGGAGTAATTATTAAAAACAGGATTATCGCCTTTGTTTCAGAATTCCTACTGTTGCAAAGCAGCGTTTCGGTTCCTCTCTTTCATCCTATAAATCAGGGGCGTCAAACTCAATTTTGCAGAGGACCATAAATTAGATTTAGAGTGTGTAGGCGGCCACGTTCAGATTAAAGAAATTAACACATACTGAATTTTTATAATATCTTTACTTATTTAGTTATTGGAGTTGTTACATATCATATCAAAGGTAAGAAAGAGGGTAATCATCTTGAGCTTGAGGATCCAAATACCTGACTTCTCGCACTTTGACAAGGTCATTGATGTCAGGTATCATATGCGTGGTAGTTATTTTAAGAACTCATTGGAGATGTTCATTCGTAACTCTTTTGCGATGTTTGTTCTTATTTATTTTTATGACAGATAACATCTGTTCACATAAACAGGTACTACCAAACATACACAGAATACGTGCTGCAGCCTTTTTTATTTCTGAGTAGATATTCAAACTGTGTATAAAATGCAAAGGCGTTAACTTCTTTACATTTTTCGTTCAAATTGATGTCGGATCTACCAAAAAGGCACATTCAACTCACCAGTCATTGTCATAATCAACTGACTTGCCTTTTTCTAACGTGAAAGCTAAAATAGGGTCACGTGACGCTAAATCTTTAAAAATCTTTCTAAAACTGACCCTCGGCTGAGCCAACGAACTTCGGTGAAACAAGGAACATCATCGAAAAATTTTTGGTCTAATTCTTGTAAAAACTGCCTGAACTGTCGGTGATGTAGTCCTCTGCTCCCTATAATATTTTAATTACAGGTTCCATAATTCACAACGCCCTAATGTTTGCCAACCATGGAAAGAGTGCACGAATCGGTAGTTGCGCTGCTAAATTTATTCCAGTCGAGTTCATATTCTGCTATCACATGCTCACATATATGAGTTTTCAAAACACTTATGTCATACTTTTTAATAAATTACCTGTAAGTATAAGAAAATTATCAATCCTAAGCCTTAGGAAAATTCTTAAATGTGTATTAATTAAACATGCCTTTTATAGCGTAGCAGAATTTGAAAATTTAGAAGATTTAGATTTCAATAATATTGTGTGACTTCTGCAAATGGATATTTTTTTGTTACAAGTATGCAGTAAATATGTATTATTATTATTATTATTATTGTCGGTGTTTCTTGTGAGAACTCAGGTCTAGCCTGGTTAACTAATCACACGGATTAAAATCAAGTAACGATTAGTGTCTGTGTCTGTGTCTAGTGAAGTTATGTAGGGTTCTAAAGAAAAAAAAAAATAAAAAAAAATAAAAAAATAAAAAATAAAATAAAAAATAAAATAAAAAATAAAATAAATATTGGCACACTCACATTGGAAATCTAGGGATAGTATGTAATTCATACTTACCAACATAGCTATTAATGGCCACAATAGTCAACGCTATCAGGAAAGAAGAAAACAAAACAAAAATATCATTATAATAATTCCTGTACTTTTATTAAATAGAGTTTATGTGTAAGTGTTTCTTTGGCTTTGCGTTTGGGTTGTATACGAGTGGGTTGTGATAACGTGGTGTGTTTATGTGAAGAAGGAGTTTTGTGTTTTTTAACTGTGCTAGGACGTGTAACTTTATTCAGTGGACCTGTCTTTGTGGTACATGTTGCCTTACTTGTATTTATGGTGTTTCTTTGTTCTTGAGGTTGTATTTGTGTGGTTGCTTGGGTTTTTGGTGGAGATATTACAGTATGTTGTGAGCATGTAGTTCTGTTAAGGTTTTCGCGTTTCGGTTGAATACGAGTGGGTTGTGATAATGTGGTGTGTTTCTGTGAAGAAGGAGTTTTGTGTTTTTTAACTGTGCTAGGACGTGTAACTTTATTGGGTGGACCTGTCTTTGTAGTGCATGTTGCGTTACTTGTATTTATTGCGTTTGTTTGTTCAGGAAGTTGTGTTTGTGTGGTTGGTTGAGTTAAGGGTGGAGATATTACAGTATGTTGTGTGTCATGTTGTGAGTCTAAAGTGCTGTTTAGGCTTTTGCGTTTGGGTTGAATACTAATGGGTTGTGATAATGTGGTTTGCTTCAGAGGTGAATCTGATTGTAGTATATGTTGTATCATTTGTTGTTATTATTATGGTCGGTGTTTCTTGTGAGAACTCAGGTTTAGCCTGGTTAACTAATCGCACGGATTAAAATCAAGTAACTATTAGTGTCTGTGTCTGTGTCTGGTGGAGTTATGTATGGTTCTAAAGAAAAATAAAAAATAAAAAATAAAATAAATAATAATTATTATTATTATCATTATCATCAATTGCAGAATAAATATCATTTGCTGTTGTAGTACCTGTTAGTTGAACGCGAAAAGTTTGTAAATTCTTTAGCTTTCTCCTTCTGCAGCGGTTTATTTGTAGGGTCCAATGACAATTTGTTTGTATCAGGAATTTTTATCGATATACCAAAGCGTTTGATTCAGTAGATCACAAGATATTAATGCAACATTTATGGGAACTAGTAATGAGGAGTGGCGTGGAACTGGTTTCATAGCTACTTAATGAACCGAATTCAATGTGTGCGTATTCACAATGTCACTAGTGTACCAGCCATAGTTACATGCGGAGTTCCGCAGGGTTCTGTGTTGGGCCCTATTTTGTTTCTCGTTTTTATCAATAAACTTCTTCATATTTCTTCGGTACCATAGTTACTCTTCAAAATGATATGAAGAGTGGTTTAAACAAAACAAAAAGATGGTTCACGATCAATAAGCTTGCACTAAGTGTAAAAACTAAATTTATTTATTTTTCATTAAAACATAGAATGGACAATATACAAAATATCTATTTTAAGTGCCAGATTTGCTTGTTAGCAGAGAGTGGCGTGTATCTCAAGCGCATAAAAATTGATCGAGTTCCCCAAATTAAATATCTTGGCGTGTTAAATGATGAAAATTGTTCCTGGAGACCACATATTGCCAATTTAAAACGCTACATGTACCCTGCATTAAGGCATTGTTATTATTTAAGACATATATATCCGATCTGAATACCTGAAGTGATAGTGAACGCACACGTTTAAGTGCTCCGTAATAAAAGCTCAAATCCTGGGACATTACGAGTTTTTTGACGTGTTGTTTTTGTGATCTGATAGGATATACGGAAGGTAGGAGTTTAAATTAGTCAATATTTGATAGGCACTGATTAATAAACGTAAATAAATAAATTGAATTAAAACGAGTATTACATACAACGATTATACGCTATCACGGTTGTGAGATAAGAGTGTTTTCTCCGAGGGGACGACCCGGAAAGCATTCTTAACGCTCCATCCGGATAGGCAACACATCGAACATCCAATAGTAAGTAGAGTTGCATAACATAAAATGGAGGAGATATTACAACAAATTAAACAGCAACTAGAAAATCTAAATCACAGGACAGAACGCATAGAAAATAAATTAGACGAATGCCAAAAGCAGATCCAAGAGATCAAAAATGAAAATCTAAATCTAAAACGTGAAAACGAAGAACTAAAGCTAACGGTCATTCAACAAAACGAAAAAATTGTAAATTTAGAAAAGGATATAAAAAGAAATAATCTGATAGTCCAAGGAAATAAAGAAGCTGAAAATGAAAGCGAACTACAACTAAAAGAAAATATCAGAACTGTGCTACGAGATATTGGGGTAAACGTGACAGTGGAATCCGAAATAAGTGAAATTTACCGAATTGGAAAAAAACAAAATAACAAAACTAGACCAATATTTATAAAAGTTAGAAATTACAGCCTGAAACTTCATATACTAAACAATGCAAAAAATTTAAAAGGAACAAAAATATATATCTCAGAAGATTACCCCAAACATATTTTAGAACATAGAAAGATATTACTGCCATACATGAAAAAAGCTAGGGAATCAGGACACCGTTCGTACTTGAAATACGATAAAATTATTGTAAATGGTGAAGAATTCGGCTTAGAAGACCTGGAAGAGGAGCAAGAAAGTGCAGTACTCATAACTGACATGGAAAAAAAGGAAGAACGATAAGCCAAAGGTCACCCACAACTACAAATGCAGTCTCGAAAAGAGCACTCAGTATGGGAAGCTTATCAAAAAACTAAACGCAACACAACAACAAAAAAAAACGATGACGAAAACGGCTATGGAAAATGGAAAAGCAAATGGAAAAAATCGACAAATATGGAAATTAGGAACATGGAACACGAGAAGTTTAAACGGCAAAGAAGATGAATTAATACAAGAATTCGAAAAAGCAAAACTTGACATTTTGGTAATATCTGAAACTAAGAAAAAGGGGCGTGGAACGTTAAACATGAATGGAAATCACTTACTAATATATAGCGGAGTAAACTTAAATGTAAGAGCGGCTGCAGGAGTTGGGTG